ACACACACACACACACACACACACACACACACACACACACAGCAACTATATAGGCATATTCAGGCAGATGCAAGTTGGACACACTCACATGCAAGAAAGCACACACAGACACTCAATACATCAGTAAACCAAGTCAAGAGAACATCAGGCATCTGGCTTTTATCAGACACACACATTAAGACAGAGGAAAGAAAGGCAGAAAGAAAGAAAGAAAGAAAGAAAGGAAGGAAGAAAGAACAAAAGAAAGAGCGAATGAACGGACACAACTGGACCAACCCACGGGTTTAATCAGGGTTGATTAATGACAGTCATGCAACTACGTACACTTTGTGTGTGTGTGTGTGTGTGTGTGTGTGTGTTTTCTCTCCCTTTCTCATCACACCCAGCCATCCTCTCTCAACACACACCCTCTCCTCTTTCTCTCTCTATCCTTCACTCTCTGTCCTCACTCAACCCTGTAACTAATGACTCTGGAGGAGGCATTGCAGCACCTGCTGCAGACAAACACACACACACACACACACACACACACACAGAGAGAGAGAGGAGAATGGGGAGAAAAAAAAGTTGGAGAGAGGATAAGGCGATTGTGGGGTGGGGGGGGCTTAGATGAAGAGAACATACTATGCCAAAAAAAAGGGGGAGGTAAAAAAGGGAGACAGAGAAAGGGAAAGAATGGTTTGAGGTGCCAAGGACAAAGCGGTGGGGAGAAGAAGAGAGGGAGAGAAGAAGGGAGGGAGGTGTGAAGTGTCACTGCCAGTGGTACCATCTCTCTAATTAGCATAGTGACCTTGGTCCTCCGTAACTGTTATTGTACACACATGCACGCACACACACACACACACACACACACACACACACACACACACACACACACACACACACACACACACACACACACACAGTGCTCATATGCATAGCAGAGTGCATGTTTTTTGTGTTTGCATGAAAAAATGTGCGCCTGGTATGAATTTTAATACACAACATTTTTAAATTGTTAAACGCTTTTTCCTGGGAAGGTCTTTTGAGATGAAGATTTCACATACATTTCACACATGCACACCTCACACACACCCTTGTTCGTCCAGCATTAAACTCGTTTTCATGGACATGTGTGAGGATGACTTTAAGTGTTTAAGTGTACAGACAAAGAGAGAAAGGGAGAACGAGTCAGTACAGACAAAGAGAGAAAGGGAGAACGAGTCAGGGAGACAGAGAAACTAACTGTGAGTGAGCAGGGAAGAGAGAGGGGGAGTACAGCTGTAGCAGTAATCATCTTTCAGGTCAACAGTAATTACCAAGAAGACTGAGGAAGTGAGTGCAGGACACACACACACTTTCTTCTCTCTCTTTACATCTTGGCTTTTTGTATTTTCCTCCTGTCTCGTTTACTTCACAACCAAAACATGCACCATCACAAAGAAGATGTCAGTGCAAGCTGTGGGGTTTAATGGATACATGTTTCTCAAAGTGAATACAATTATATATACACAAACTGATTCTTGCTTCAACCGTGCTCTAATGAACTCATGGGTAATGTCAGGAAGTTTCTTTAATCGTGGTTAAATTTAAGGTCGGCAGTTGACTTTTCAGGTCTCTTACACTACGAGCTATACAACTGCATCGTATTCTTCTATTGGTATGTTAAGCTAGTTTAAACTTCTTGCCCTGAGTTTTGCCTCTCAGGCAGCATATACCCTCACAAGATGTGCAGGCTAAAGGGTTAAGGCGGTTCTGGAGTCTGGCCTGAAAGAATTCTGCATTAGGAATACTATATGTTATCACTGCACTAATTCGTAGCCCAGATGTCTTACTAAGGGAACCTTCCGTCAAACCTGGTGTCGGCTGGTTTGTCCTGATACATCCGATACGATGATCACTTTGGTCCTCCTTTGAAGCCCAGATGATAGCCCTCTAATTTTTTTGGTAGTTTATTGTCTTCTCGGACCAAATGGCTCTTTTCTGATGTCCTGTTCACACTTTTTTAGGCCTAATAAAGTCATCATGGTCAGTGATTTTAATAAAGATGTAAATGACACTAGATGTGAGTTCCAAGGTGTAATGAAACTGTTTCATTTTAAATTGTAATACTGTCTGATATGTGTATAGAAGATTAGTTCATTTTAAAGCATCCATTTATATAACTTATCTAACAAACCTAACTTTAATGAGACATGCTTTCTGCTCTCACACCTTCAACACTGACTCCACACAAATGTTTTTCACACTTATTTTTCATTCTAATTCAACCCATTTCACAAAACCTCAGGTGTTAACTCTGCTATGTAGTTAAATGATGATTCACTTTTTTGTGTGACTGTAGAAAAGTGCAATTGTGGAAAACTACTAGGTCCATGTCAATTATTTCCACTTGATAGAGCTTTTATTTGGTTAGTGTTCAGATCAAGGATGTGAGAACAAAATATTTTTCACAGATTATTTCCACCAGTAGACAACCACTGATAAAACTGTTTCTGCGGCTCTCCCTGCAATTCTTCACTGCACAAATGTGTTTATTATTGTGTCAAATCACCTGTCAAAACCTCTACTACAGTCCATCAGATGTGCACCTCCATGTCCTCTTGTCTTTTTATGCTTCTCTCGGTAAAAAGAAGACAACTTCCAGTAGTGTCTATTAATATTACATTCAATCAAATCCCTAAAAGATTTCACTATTCACACCACACCACCATTTGTTTGCTATAAAACACAGAGTTTTAGTAGGCAGTAGATGTGTGTTTCTGCAAATATACCCAATGTATATGTGTTTGAGCAGTTTGATAGACATAGAGATCAGAAAATGTATTAAAAGCATCATCTTTATAACTGTGCGAGGCAGGTGGACTCACAAGATCATGCAAGAATCGCCATGCTTCAGTCTATGCGTTTGTGGCTGGTACAATGGTACTGGAACAATCAGCGTCCTTTGAGGAAGTACAGGCAGCTATGGGGGTAGGCGCTAGGTGTGACGCAGCGAGAAGACACTGTTTGTTAAGAAACAATAGTGGCTGCTTAAGGGGCTAGTATAGATGCTGCTATCATCAGTTATATCAGAACTGGAGAGTATTTCTCCATTGAAAGATGAACAAAGAATGGCACTGAGGGCTTTTCTCGATGGAAAAGATCTTTTCACACTCCTCCTGACTGGCTGACTGTAAGAGTTTGACTGCGTTATATGGTTTGTTGATCTGATTGGAGTTCCCTCGTGACAGATAGTGATAGACAGATGGTTAATCCAATCACCAGCCAAGTATTATTTTTTTAAACTTTTCCAAACTTTCAGTCAGGTGGTCACCTTTAGCCAACATTATGAAATATTATCCTACACCAGGTATTATTTATTTTATCCATATATTACTATCAAGTCTACAGTTTCCCAAGTTTAAGAATAAGGTTTTTGGATATTTAAGGTTGAGCATATGGCATCCTTGGTTGAATGTATCTTTATAGATTAGATTCTATGAGGACATTCTCATATGTTTGAGTTTCAGTCCACCACAGGCTCGGTGGTGATGTTCAATGTCAGATAAGTACAGCTCTATCTCCAAACCCTTCTCCCAACGTCTCTTCCCCAAAAAACAATCAATATTCACTTTTCTTAGATTTCTCATCTCTCTCTTTCACAAACGCTAATCACCTCTTTCTCTCCCTACTGCCATCTCACTGCTGTCTTTGGTGGAAAAGCTTTCAACTATCTTGCAGAACAAAAGTGTTTGTCCCGGCTAACCTACAAAACCTCAGCATACTCTGAAAAGGAAGTGGGAAACAGCATAGCATGAAATTCGTCGGAGACAGTCTAATTGGCACTGAGTGTGTTAAAACCAAGATTTTGTCAAACCCTAATTAAGCTGCTCATCTTACAAAATGTTAGAGGCTCGATCTGGAAATCCAACATCAGTGGTTTTGGGAGCGACTTTCTCATTGCACTCCAATTCAGGAAAGTTAGCCTGGACATCCGCAGCTTTGTGCATAATTAGTTCATGAAACAGTAAGAAGTCTGTGTAATTTCATTTGGAATTGACTCCTCGCCCTCCATTCCATCCCTCCGGAAAACTCAATCTCCAAGGAGTTGAGGGCTCTTCTCTCTTAATAACAGCTAAACACATCAACACTGCTCTTCCAAATGCCCTCCGAAGCAGTTAGGAACAAAATAAGAGATGGAAGTCTAATGAAAAGAGGTTTAATAGAAGAGCAAGGCAAAGGTGGCTCAGAGGCTTGCTGCTGTTTAATTCAATGGGATGCTCCTGGTGCCCGAAGTCTGGCCCATTTTAATTGCACTCCTCTCTCATTTATAAAAGGAAGTATGTAGCGATACAGCTTTAATGAATCTGAAAGAGAAGGGAGACTATTCAATGTCCCTCTGTCACACGCACTGAAGGATAATGCGATTGTGCTGGTTAGGCCCACATGTTTTGGCACAGTATTGTTGTATACAACCACTAGCTACACACACACATCAATATCTATAAACACAAACGTGAATGATTATTAGTATTTGAGAAGACAATAATACGAGAGGAACACATGACAAAAAGGTGAAAGTAAGTCCAAAAAAGGAAAGACACAATACAAGATGAAAGGGAATGAGCTCAGCCATCTAAATCATCTGCTCCATCCTTTCTCCCATCTTTTCAGGGATTTGATCAATAATCTCATCATGACCATAGTCGTTAATCAATAACTCTATATGGACTCAATCAATAATTTCATCACTGACTTAATCAAAACTGCACCTATCAGTCGCACATGATTCAATGTAAGTAAGTGTAACTGACATGCAGTAAATCCGGTCATCGTTATCATGATCATCAACATTGCACTACTGCTGTTACTGTTATTACTGTGACCGCAAATAACATTGGCCATCACTGCAGTCTTTATCATCACCACCAACACCATCAGCTCTCTCCAGGGTTTACAGATAGGGTCTACCTGGAGTGTAACACCTCAATAACAACAAGTAAATCAGGCCAGCGAGTGAAAGGTGGGGTGCAGCTTACCTTCGCCATCTGTGCCTGGACTCCACTGGCTTTGAGTGAAGCCACAGCCTTCTGGGCTGCTGCAGGGCTGTCAAAGTCCACAAAGCCATAGCCTGTAAACACACACACACACACACACACACACACACACACACACACACACACACACACACACACACACACACACACACACACACACACACACACACACACACACACACACACACACACAGACAGACAGACAGACAGACAGACAGACAGACAGACAACACAGGAAAAAGACTATCAGTTAAGTTCAGTTGTTCTGAATATTACTGAGGAAAAATACAAGCATGTTCTTGTTTTCAATACTGAATAAATCCTATGTGTCAAAATCAAGTCAGGTCACGTATCTAATGAAAGCTACTAGCTCCCCCATTAAATGTGTTTTAGCACAGAACATCAACAGAATTGGTGTTATGATCCAAAAGACCCTTTAATGTCTACACAAGTTTCTGTGTACTACAGCTCTTTTTCAATGAAATCATGTCTGTGGTTTGTAATGACTTTAATGTTGTTCAGTGCACTAATGTCACCAATCATTAATATATTAGATATAATTTTAGATATATTTTATACCATTTGTATCTTGACTCTATGCTGAAAGACTGTTTTAGTTTTAGATTAAAAATCTACTGGCTTCCTATTGTCTGAAATTTGCATGTGAGCTCATTTAGTCACTGTACAACACTAAATCTGTCAGTACATATACAGTAAGGTTCTTATAGTAGTGGTCAATACTGTATGCCTCTGTACTAGTGGCACCAAGAAACATTCTCCACATTTAACGCAGCTATTCAAGTGATTAAGTCTTGTTTAAAGAAATATAAATGCAAAGAGAATGAGCATCACTCAATTTTATTGTGATAAGATCTGCGTCACGTTGTGTGTCTCTGTGCATGTGTGCACAGTGTATCTGTCAAATTGTTGACACTCTGGAGATATAGGTTGAGCCCTACAGGAAGCACTGAAAGACAAGAGGACTGAACACAAAAATATCAATCTCTGCTTTCAGAAATATATCCTGTTTTACTGGGTCACATGGATGGGGCTGGAAAGAGATGTCAAATAGACAGACGGAAGCAAAAGAGACACAGCCTGTGTGTAGTGTGAATGACAGTTTGCGTGCAACTCTGTGTGGTATATGTGAACAAAACTGAGAGACTGTAAGTACAAGAATGGTTCTGACTGTGTGTTTATATGAAAGACTAATAAAAAGAGAGATATTAACACACATGCATTAAGCCAGGGAGAGAAATGTTCAGAAAGCACAGCAGCTTTGAAATTCCAGCTGTAGTTTTGAGTGGGCATGTTAACACAATTAAATGATCCACATTTCAAAAACCTCACTCATTACAATCCTAAATGTAAACATGTTGAGAATGAGGGAAAACACACACAAACACACTTCATTTCAAACATCTGTTCTTGTCTGTCTGTCTTCTCCAGGATTTGGAGCCACTCTGTTTTGCTGATAAGCAGATGATTTTTTTATTGTTCAAAGGCAGCAAGCTGCTTTCACAGCAAGATATGTACTGCACACACAAATATTTATACAGTTGCTAATGAGAAACCCATAATTTAGCCAAAATAGGATAACACAAACAGACATGCAAGTTCTTACTCTAGTATGTATGTGCACACATTAACAACTGGGCCAAACACCAATCCATACAAGCATGGATACACACATACGGTATGCACAGAGAACTCATAGATTCATAGATATATGCAAGCATGCCGACTCATGAGTTTTTTTTTATCTATATCTTTCTAATTAGGGTCACAATAGTCAAACTAATGAGGATGCATAAACATACAGTATTCATCAGTAGCCTGGCAAGATGCTTTCATTTTATTCCAGAACACTTTTAAAAGTTTCATATCTGCAATCTCGCACTTTAACTAATGGTGTTTGTTTAACCATAGGCTGTCAATGTAATTAGTGGGAAAAATCTCAGTTTACAATGGATAACTCAATCATCACTAGTTCAAAACAGAAGCCTTGTTGTCTGTTTAATGGCAGTAGTTCAACAATACCACAGCAATGCACATTAATGTTGAAAAAAGAGTAACTGTATTGATAAAGGCAACTCCACTAATTATTCAATCATATATCAAATTTGTTTACTACTACTACTGCATATGTGGTAGGATAACCTCAAAATGGTTTTGACATGACTTTAAGAATATTTTAAAATATTAAGAACAGTATTGTATTAACCTAATGACTTCAACTATCTTTTATTTATCTCATACAGTGCAGTTTTACAGTATTTTACCATAGGGATTGGTTGATTTGTTTTCATAATCAATGGTGGCAACTTGTGGTTCTACCTGCAGATTCTGTTGAGTGAAAATATAGAACTTACGTGTAATTGGCAGATTGTGCCAGTACAAATATGGTCATTAAACTAGAGGTTTGAGATTTTAATCTGCAAAGTAACCAAGAGCCACTTCTTGGAACTGCTTAGTTTACAATGATTTACCAATCAACTGTGTAGCTCATATCAAATGTGTCCTTGAGTCCATGTCTCACGAGCCTTGTACATGATTTCTTAATAAAATATTGAGTTGTTGTAGATGTCGGCATGTAATCTAGCTTTGCCCTGCACCTTTTAGTTAATCCTTACATCTAAAGCTGTCTGAGTGTCAGCTTGGGCAGAAAAATATGTCACACCATTCACCATTCTGGAGGCATGAATGATAGAAATTTTTTTTCCAAGTGTTGCTCTCATTGACTTGTTCGGTGAGATAGCTAGCTAGATAGCCTTGAAATTCACCATTTGCTTTGGCTGTGACTTGTCATCACTCATGGAGAGATTGGCGTTTTCTGAACATTTATTTGGCCTTCTCTCCAGGGTGTCAGAGGTCAAATATCAGTGACAGATCACACCCCACGAGCTGGTATGGATTTATTGTCTTGCTCAAGGACACTTCAGCTTGGTGGAAGCCTATGGAGTCTATGAGCAGATCCCTGCCTTCCAAGCTGCTGGACCGTTTCCCGAATCACTATGCCGTGCTTCTGCCCAGCATGTAAATTTATACATTTTAAAATAACCTATACACTAAAACCTACCCTCTTTAGTTGACTGAAAACTCATCTCATGTGCATGTAAGTGATAGCTCTTCTGAGCAAAAATAATATCTCTGAATTATATAATCCTTCTCATCTGTGCCCTGTCCCTCCCATCTGTGGCCTTATGATGACACAGAGATGGAAATTCATCTTGCTCAGTCAAGCCTGACAAATATCTCACTCGTGAATGAAAAGAAAAATTATTACAAAGCGCACACACACTTGAATACACACTCATGTGCAGTCATAGACACAGATGGAAGCCCAGATAAACATGAGTACTCTCACACACTTCCCAAGCTCCCATCTAATCTCCTGAGCTCCCAGAGTTCCTGGCCTTGGGCCATTAGAATGGGCTAACCAAGTACAGAGGGAAAGGGAGAAAGCAGGAGTAAAGGACGAATGGGGGGAAGCAGTGAGTCAGGAGGGAGAGGGAAAGAGTAGAAGGCAGAGAGAGAGAGAGAGAGAGAGTGGAAGAATGAGATGAGCAACGAGACAGGGCCGAGGGAGAGAGGTGGAGAAAAGGCAGGAGAGACATGGAGACAGGGAGAGGGAGGGCGCTTGTCTTTGGGAAATGGAAATCCTTTACAATCTAAAGTGGTTTCCTCTCCCTTCCTTCCTCCATCCTGTGCTCCGTGCCCTCTCCCTCCCCCAGAGCTCCCACGCTGCTAACTAGAAAACTGTCAGTGTATTTAACATTGAGCCCCGTACAAAGCTGAGGACTTTACAAAGAAAATCTTTATATTATTTTAGTGAAAAAAGCAAAGGTTTTGCTTTTTTTGTACTCTAAAATGACAAATAATCAAACAGTAATTCTATGGATGGTGGGTTTTTTAGGGTTTTCATTATTATGCACCATATATAAATATGTTTACATATTGTTGTGGGACAATATGTTGTTGTCATTGAACAAATTCAAAAACAGCACAAAACCATTTAGAAGTAAAACCATCACAGAAACTGGGATCACAAGGCTGTCACCTGACAACAATACAAACTGATCGAACACTATCCTGGCAGACTGCAGACTGCAAAGGAAGAAGACTTTATTTATTTACCTGCCTATATGTCTAGATCTCTCCCACTGTCTTCCTTTTCTCTCTTTCCTCTCTGCAAGATCTTCCTGAAAAGAAGAAGCTGTCTGCTAAATCATCAGTTTCAAAGGGTCCCCTTCCTTTTCTGTCAGCCCCAGGTTATTTTTACCCCCCTTTCTCCACCTCCCTGTGCCTCCTCCCAGCCATCCCTCCTTTTCCAAGAGAACTCTCTGTGCCAATTTGTACTCTCTTAGTCACGCTAAGCACTTATCTTGTCCCCACTGAATGCCTCTGCAATCAAACCAACACTTATCCGGTTGTAAGGCATTCTAATGGCCGACTGATAATGAAACTCCTTCATTGTGAGTTAACAACTGGCTAAAAGATGTATGAAGTCTGCATCACAAGCAGTGAAATTGCTGATGAGGGCCACAGCCTGTAAAAACTGCCTATGCCACTACAGCTGCAGCTGCTGCATTCTGGGTATTCTATGTATTAGATAACAAGCATAAATATATAGCTGAATGTATAGGTTTGCATTTTGAAACTTTCTTATGTATTCATAAAGGGCTTGGCTGGGATAAATACATGTATATATAGTATAGTGCCAGCTCCGGGGCCAAGAATATCACCACTATTTACTTGTGAGCACACACACACTTTTTTGTCTCTCCATACACACAGGCTTATTGCTTTCAGAAGAAAATACGCATACCACCAAAATATGAACTTGTAAGTGAAAGGGATTTTAACATTCTGAGCAGACACAAATAAAAGAAAAGAACAATAAAAGGGATTAACACAGACAGCGGGTGCACCTGTTTTTCTTTTTATCCTACATTGAGTCCCTGCATGAACGTACATATTCATACCTTTTCTGTGTGTGTCAAATTCTAGACTGCACATGCACAATCCAAGTGGACAACCGTGGACAACAGTGGACATGGGCAGGTGACGAAATTCTTATTGTCAACAAGTTCCATGAGAAAACCACAACCGGTCCGTCACTCAATACATTTCTAATTCCCTAACCTGTAGCTCTTAGCTCCGCAGCCTAAATCATTCCTTCTGAAGATGTAAATCTTTAAAAACAGGTCACAAATATACTGTTTAATTTTTAAAAAATGCTATGCAATTTCAGTTTTTAGCAAACATTATTCAAACAGGAGTGAATAGTGAATTTGCTGAGGACTATTTTCAGCCCTGGATTAATACACATTTGATGCTCTAATGAGTATTTATGGCAGAAGAACTCTGCAGTATTGACTCAAAATAAACCACTGTGCTCATGTGCATGGTAATGAAAAAACATGTCGCCCAGTGCAACAGTGTGGCTCATTGATGAGTTTTTAATAGTTAATGGACAGCAAGGAAGCTCTATGCCACACAGGAAGACTGTATAGTCTATTAGGCTGTGGCTACACAGGCAGCATTTGTTATTACAACCAATTTGTTGGTGGTCTTTCCATGGGATTTTTTAACAATAAGAAAAATATATATTATATATACATATCGCTACTTTAAGGCTGATTAACGTTTAATTTTGGTTTAATTTGTACTGGATGCAAATGGCCTTTTCAGATGCAATGAATTCTTGAAACAAACATTATTTTCCATTTGTAAATCATACAAAAAAGAAGCATGAAGCCATAATTGTCAAACATAATAATCATGAACTGGAGCACTGAGGCTGTACTGAATCAGGTTTTACAACTCCATTTCAAGTAACACCAATGAAAAAAATTTAATGAGTTGAGAAAATGGCAGAATAACTGATAATTATCACTGGGTTTTTAGAATGTTCTGCCTTCCCTTCGGCTATGCTGTAATGATGTCAGGACAGGCATTTCAATATGCCTCTGGAGCTCAAAGCCATATTTGATTATGTGATGCCAAAGCAGGTAACTGGAATGATGAAGTTTATAAGATTTATATAACCAGCCAATTAGAAAGATCCAAGATAATAACTGAGGTAAAAGAGTTTTCAGGGGAGTTGGTGTTCCTATTATAATGTTAAGAAAAGGCAGGACTGCAATCATTTACTCCAAATATTTTATCCTAAGTAATTGCAGCAGATGAAGTCTTAGAACTTACATTAACATACCTGCCATTGTTATCAATCAGACCGGCTTTTCCTTTTCTCATACTATTGAGACTGATACACTGATTACAGGGCATTTGTGATGTTGTCCTAAACCATGTCAGTATACCTTTGAGTACAGCCTTGGCAGATGAGCAGCAATCATGCTGAACACAAGCTCTTGTGTGCCTCTTCAAAAGCAGACGACTACAATCATATTGATTAGTGCTTTGTTCAGACCACTCCAACAATCAAGCAGACTCTCATCAGAACACACTTGAGTGAGCCTCATTCACCACAGAGACAATTTGAAACACATTGTGGCTATTGTATGGTGTTCTCCGTTTTGATTTGGCCAATAACAACAATGCAAGCCATCTTGCTTTCAAAAGGTGCTTAACTCTGAGTGTCATTAGGGTGCAATCCTGAAATCATCTTTATAGAGATGTAAAACAAAATAAAGGTTCTCTAGCAGTGCGTCATTTAGGTGGATTAAAGGATGACATGCTCATTAAGTCAGTCAATACTGTTGTGTTGTATACAGTGTAAAAACACACATACTTACCACATAGCAACACACAACTCTGAGGCAAACACATGGATTTTTGTGTAATAGCACACTGGGTGGCTTGCCCAAGTTGAAGTCATTTGTTTTAATTTGACGTCACACTGGTTGTTGAAAGACATTTCAGCCAATTGTTAAAACCTCTGGGCAGTGATTAATTGGGGATGCAAAACAGTACAAAACCACTCCCTGTAGAGTACTGATTAGTCTGCCTTTAAGCTGCCAAGTATCATCAATTCTCAGATGATGTTTTCCAGACTCAAATCTCCCATCAAAATCTGAGTTTGTGAAGTACAGGCTGACTTTGATAACCAAACCAGATAAAGTCACTGGATTCTCACTCACCTTTGCATTGATTGGTGTTCTTGTCCAGTATGGCCTTTGTTGACACAATCTTCCCATATCTGTAAGAACAACAATGAAACATTCGGATTAGCAGGTGAATCAGTTTAGCTATTTTAACATCTGGAGCAATATGGGTTGTTCTCTGATTGTTATGCAAACAACATTTTTAGCCATGCTCTAGGGCAGTGGTTCCCAGCCTTTTCTATCATTGAGAAAACTGACGACCCCTGATTAAGAGACACATTTTATGGATATATCATATTTAATGGGTAACAATAACAGTACAGAATAACTGATTAACCGTACAATTAAACCAAGTAGTGAATGTAATTCCAGGACCTATGAGTAAAATTTGATATATTTTGAGCAGATTATTTCCTGAAAATACTGCAGAAATCAGAGATGAGTTTAGAAAGATTTCTGTATCTGTATTATGTATTTTAAAATTCAAACACAGTTTTTTTTAGGTTTCTTTCAGTTCATCACTTTGGTCCAGACTAAAAGATTTCAACAAATAATAGTTGGATTGCCATTAAATGTTGTAGATATATTAATGGTCCTTTTCATGCAACCACGAGCATTAGGTCAGAATGTTTGGATCTGAGTGAAGTGTCTCAACAACTATTGGATGGATTGCTTCCCCTCAGGATGAATTGTAATTATGATAACAATTCATCATCAAAAAAATAATTTTTACAATACTTTGGTGTATGCTAGCATGCTAACATGCTAAACTGAGATGGTAAATATATTAATACTGTTTCTAAACATCAGCATTATGAGCATGGTGCCATGCTAGCATTAGCTCAAAGCACCACTGTGCCTAAGTAGAACAAAGTAGTGTCTAAATGGAAGAAATGTTACCTCCTCTGACACTATAGTTTTGGAGCAACTGTAAAGATGTTTTCACAAAGTTGGAATCCGAGAGGATACCATAAAATAAAATTGGCACAAAAAATAGAACAAAATCTGACCATAACACAGTTCCTCTGGGTGTCTGCAAGAAACACCTTATCACAGTTAAATTGTCCATCTATGCTTCTATCTATCCATTCTGTCCTTATCTGTTTCAAATCCCACCCGTAGGCCTCAGAACACAGGCAGTACTGTCTCATAAATAATGATAATAACCAGACATCTGTATGGCACCCAATCCTGCTTGGAGGGCCTATAAGAGAGACAGACAACCTCCATACTTCTTTCTATCTGTTCTCTCTGCCAACGTTTAATGTCTCCTGTCCGTTTCGCTACCTAACTCTCCTTCTTGCGTTCGGCACCTCTGCCTCTCTCTTTGTCTTCTTCCCTTATTTTCCCTTCCATCCCACTTCTCCAGCTCTCTGTTCTCAGAAAGAAGTTAATAATGTTTCTTATCAACCCGGTCTTCCAGGCCTCCTGCACAGAGAGGACAGAGAAACAGACAGAAAACTGAGAAAGACGCTGAGAAGGTATGAGGAGAGAGAAAGAAAGAGGAAAACAGAGACAGAGGGGAGGGGAGAGGGAGAAAAAGACTGAGACAGAAAGCTTGGATTGCTGAGATCAGCCTGGATCACTGCCTAGCTCTGAGGATGAGACTTTTTAATTAATGTTTTAACACTGCTGCACACTGACTGACTGGCTGGCTGAGTGACTATCAAGCAGATTGACAGACTGACAAGTTGGCTGACTGGCTAGCTAGACTGGCTGATGACCACAGGTGAGGGATGGACGTATATTCCCTCTTTCCTTTTAGAAAAAAAAGCGAGACAACTAAGGAGGGAGACAGAAACGATAGAGAAACCAAGGGGAGATACAGTGAGGGAGGTTGCGTGCCAAGAGGGTGAAAAAAGTGAAGGGGGGGAGGAGGGGGACTCGGAGGAATAAGAAACAGACGAGGAGAGGGAGAGCAGTCAGTCAAAAGATAAAAAGAGACACTGAAGGCGAGGAGGAAGCGAGGTAGTCAGGGAGCGATAGAGAGATAGTAAGAGGTGTTTAATAAAGAAGAGATCATTTAGTTGTCACCATCAGGAGAGTCTCTGTCAGCCAACTCAGTGAGAAGAAGAGAAGAGAGACTAGCTCGCCTGTCAGCCCAATATCAAACTCTATTGGGACAGGAGACATTAGAAATAAAGACAGAAAAAAGGCTTTAAAAGGCTGCTACCACACATAACACGACAGCTGAGCAGCTTATGATCTTGAAATTGGTAGAGAAAATCACCAGTTTCTCTGTTCAAACAATGCCCAATTTTCATACTTTTTTCTGCAGTTTAAGATATTTTTAGGGTATTTACAAATCCAACAATTGTCACAGGCTAATCTAATGTTTCTCCTGGTGTTTTTTTCACAGAGTCACGGCTGGTGGTAAACAAGGTCTTTGGCCTGCGGTCTGGGGAGGAATCCAACGGTTGCTGATGTAAAAAACACAGAAAAAACAAGGCAGGACTAATCGCCCACACATATACGCAAAGGCAAACACACATGCAGACGCACACGCAAGGCAACATCATAGATCAAAAACACCAAAGCGGTAATCACACACATTACACACACCATCTGGCAATAGCTGGTTCTTTGTTGACTTCTGCCTCGCTGTGATTCAAACTTGGTGTGTGCGTGTGTTTATGAGTGTAAACACCTACAGTGCATGTGTGAGTGAATGTGCCTGGACACATTTGAGCATACAAATACTTGTGTGGGCATGATTCCTTGCAATTGTGTGTGTGTGTGTGTGTGTGGAGTGAGTATAAATGCATGACAAAGATCTCATGCTCCATCGGTGTTTTGGCAGGTTGTTTTTCCCGACAGAAAAGTGAAACATTTCCAGACTGTTTTATTCATTTGTGTGTGTGTGTGTGTGTGTGTGTGTGTGTGTGTGTGTGTGTGTGTGTGTGTGTGTGTGTGCAAAAGAAAGAGTGAGAAGGAGAGAGAGAGAGAGAAAGAGGAGGACAAAGAAGAGAGCTACCTGGCTCGACACATTATGAATCGTGAAAAAATATGTTCACAGTTGTCTGTTTTCACAAAGTGGAAAACAATTACAGCGTGTCTTTAATGTGTGGCTGTGTTTATGTGTTATCATCAGATTGATGTGTGACATAAAACTATGAGTACACCTGTTCCTTCTCTAGTTACACAATTTAGCTGGACTGAAAAACAAAAGAAGGAGAGGGGAGGAGAGCAGTGGAGAAAGTGGAGAGGAGAGGGATGATGCCATGGCCTTGGGGAAATGTCAAATTACAACAACACTGCGCCATTCAAAATGGTGTCTCACTCTGGATTTGACTCAGTTGTAAAATTCCATTTTATCCAGACAACTACAACAATCTGCTAGCGGGGAAGAAACTGAAGAAAGTATTGATAATAGATCAGATGATGAAGTAAGGAGGTTGTGGAGAGCGCGGAATAAGAGGAGAGGAAAGTGCAGAATGTCCTGTTCTGTCCCAACTGGAACCCTGTCATTGATTCCAGCAGAAGCCTGGAGCTAGTTGAAATAACATCGACCTGCACTTGACCCGATGGCAGTGACACATGAGACACTCATAAAAACTATTCAAATACTTACAACATACCAACAAAGGACTGCAAAGAACCAGATGGTTAGAGTTAGCACGTCCTTACTCCATTACTTTCTATTCTGCCTAAGCAACAGTAAGTGAAAAGGTTCTGAAAGGGATCTGAGTATGTAATTTGTTTCCATTGGATGTTCACCGGGACTAAAGAGTCCATAATGGGAGTGAAGTGTGAAGAAATAGCGGAGCAATTTTCCAACAAGCTTGACAAAGTGATCTAAACCACAGATAGAGTTCTGTAAACTTCTCTCTTCTCTGAAATATAAATATAAGGACACTCATTGACAAGTTTATTTTCAATCTGCTCCAATCTGCCCATTTAATATTTTCCTATCCTTCTCCAGTTCCATTGTCAGTCCCATCCAGATGACCCCACTTTTACTCTCAGTCCTGAGACTGGAAATCCAGATTCATTTATAGCTTACAACACAGTAAATAAAATAAAAATAAAATACAATATTCAACAGAAGATGCAATCATATAACTGTATATTTAGAATTGCTGAGAGAATGACAAAAAGTTGATTTTATATTTTCCCTGTGTCGCTTGTTTTCAGGCTTTGGGTGGAAATCCTTCAAATTCATAGATTTTGTCTCATTAGCTAACTCTTAACACTGCAGAAGAAGCTACATTAGGTTAAAAGGTTGTTTTTAAATCATAAAGTACTCACCAGGAGTAGCTGGCTAACCTTAAATTCTATTTTCTTTGGCTTCACAGAAATGCTAAAAAGCCCAACAACACAGCATTAAGCTAGGGAAGAACGCCTTTCCAAAGCATCAGTCAGGGTTGGGCTGATGGTGGGGGGGGTTTGCCTGACAGATTGACTATCACTATGACAATCCTTTTAGGACAAACGACGTGTCTTCTTCAACACATGGAAACTCCTTGGAATCCTTTTCTTTTTTTTCCCTCCATCCAGAAATGCATTCACAAAGAACAGTAAGACTGCTGAAATTGACAGTATTTGCCAGACTTTTGAGATTTAAGGAGGAATGTCAATACGAAACTCAGTGCACCCAATTTTGGCAGGCTTGACAAAATCTGTGTGCACCTTGGCTGTGTGTGTGTGTGTGTGTGTGTGTCTGTGTGTGTGAAGTGTTAATGACAGTCCTCGGAGGGCCCTCACAGCATCAGATCTGTGTTTTCTTTTCCTTGTGGAACACCGTCAGCCTATGGATGCTCACCGTTTGATGTCTTCTGAACCGCAGTTGCCACCCACCTGCCCACCCACTCTTACAGACACACGCATCATTTCTACATCTTTCCAGGATGTCTGTGAGTGTATATATACATTATGTATATTTGCATGTTATGTGTGTCTGTAAGTTGTGTGTGTTCTGTCTGTGTGTGGGTGTGTGCCAGTGTCAGTGTACGTGCCTGTTGGTCTCTGTGTGTGGTATCTCCTAATTGGGGATCCAATACAGCTGTCTTGTCTCTTGCAACGCCCCCTCCCCCCAACCCTCTGCCAGTTAGTCACAGACAAACACAGAGGGAGGACTGAGAGAGTGCAGGGCTTCAGAAGTTCTTCGAATTCATTCCCATTTTGTAGTTTAACATGGTCAGGCGCTGTAAAGTGTTTCCATGACAAAAAGGCACTGTGCTTTGGATTTAGAGGATGGCTCAATGTCACTGAAACATTACGTTTATCTGCCATAAAGTTTAAATCAGTAGCTGCAAGGTGAAAAGTTCTGTATGACCATCATCATAAGGTAAACAATCACAAAGTATAAACCAAAAAAAGCCATTTTACTTTCAGAAAAAGAATTAGTCGATACTTTTCTTTCCCTTTCTTATGCTTATTTTCCTTTCATCTGATAATACTATGGGACTAAGATGGGTCAGACTAAATACCTGGGTATCACTCTGTTTCAGATACAATGGTGGTAAATTGAGTTTCGATGAGTTTAATCTCCACTACGTCCCTGGCCATAACTCTTCACGGAGCTCAATAACTTCTCCATTTAAGTTCCTAATTATTATGATCTTTTTAGCAATATAATTACAGTGAAACTACGTGTGACAAAAGAACATGACTTTCGATTCGATTGCAGCGTCATAGAGAAGGGCAACACTCCGTGATAGTTCAATTGGGGAAAATGGGACATACTTTCCGAAAATCTCTCCTGCAAGGCATTCATAGTGTTGCATTCAGTTGTAAATACAAAAAGTTACAGAAATAGGTGTGTTACAGGTGAAAAAAAGATAGAGAGGTTCAATCGCTGCATGAAGGGGGTGTGAATGTTAGATCATTGGTTTCAGGAATTTAAAGAAATTGTCTGACCCAATTCTAACGTAAAAAAAAAGAGTTGGGGAAGGAGGTTTCTGAAGCTATCCTACAAGTACTTCAAATTGAGTATACTGGCTGCTTTATGTTTTTAATCTTGCGGGGTATATTCCTTGTGAAATCGAAAAAACTCAGAGGAGTAGAGAAGATCAATAATGCACACCTGTGGTACGTACACTGGTGATTTCACTTGTTCTGACTGATTACAGCTCTTCTCAGGGCTGTGTGTGCGTATGTGCCGATTGTGTGTGATCAACATGTGCCTTACTCTCCAGTTTGTTTTGTTGCAACAGCCAAGGTGGGACAAATTACACAAATTCTTATTGGTGCATGGAGATGGGTGAAGGGCATGTAATTCCCAGGATAGGTTAGCCCACCCACAACATGAGTAGAGGTCTAATCAGCCAGAATAAGCGAAAAGTTTCATTTAAAACAAAATCATATGTTCCCCTTCGCCAAAAAATACTTATTTGCTTTTTTAGTTGGAAATGACGTACATCCACGAGCAAACGCCATCTTTTGATCTTCTGAACTTGTGATATGATCAAAAGCTTCACAACAGCTACTAAATAGACATTGAGGTGAGATTATTTTGTCACTGTTCTAAAGTTCAAAAATAAAAAAAACGTCTTGTATCGTTTGTCGATATTATAATCAGACAAAGCTAGAATAATAAGACCCATTGGTAAGCACAGTACTACAGTGCCATTCTACACTGTTTACAGTAGTTGTACATTTTCTTATTTTTTATCTTTCTTTTATTATCCTCCCATTTTTTGCCATCATTGTGGGTAAGAATATACCAGTGTTTCAATCCATAGAAATTCTATAGACAAAATGGACACCTACCAACAATATTACTGCTCCTATTAAAAAGGAAGGTTTAAGTAAACTCAAATGTATTCTTGTCCACGGGTATTTTCTCATTAAACTGTAAGATAATTAAAGATGGAATCTGTCTTTGAAATATTAGATAATAAATTTCAAGACGAAAAGATATTTCTCAGGTTCAGGTTTCATATCAATCAACTGCTCCAAAACATCAAGCACATTCGTGCAAAGCTTTTCAAATTTCCATGAGCCATTCTTGCTCTAGAGCAAGATTTAAATTTTTTTCTAACTGAGCTGCTGCTGATTAACGAGAGATAGTGAACTTATTCAGTGTTTTATATTCTTCTTCGGTGATTTCTCAGAAGTGGTTGAGTGGCTTTGAGTGGTTAAAGCTCGTCTGTCCTCATGCAACCCCTCTATCATGAAGTAGAGGCTAGCAGATAGACAGATAGATAGATAAGAGTAGTGAATTGGTGGAAAACGTGAGAGAGAGAGACAGAAATACAACAAGTGAGAGGGAAAGCAGGCGAGCGAGAGAAAAATTGCCCTTGTGCTCTGCTTTAGATTCCGGTCACGTTCTGCTCTGTCCCCAGACGTTAAAAGTGTGTCCATAGTTTGGGCGACCGGGGGAGTGATTGGAAATGTCAGCTGACAACAGCACTTTTCACTGACACTCTGAGAACTGGCACAGAGACAGGGGGGAAAGGAGGGGGTGAGGAGGATGACAGAATGGGAAGGGAGAGGATGGTGCTGGTGGGCGGGTTGTTCACACAAAAAAAAATCCACGCATGGTAACAATAAGGATGAGGATGACATTGATCTGAAAGTGTGTGTGTGTGTGTGTGTGTGTTAGTCAATGTCAAGGGACTGTCCTTCTGTTATTCAACGTAACTGTGTGCATGAATGAAATGCCTGTTTTCGTGCGTCTGTGTGCGCGCATGCGTGCATGTCATGTCAGTGAGTGACAGGAAACTGCCACTCAGTCTATTTCCGAAAGCCGGAGAGATTTGGAAACCCAAGGCTAAGACTGCAGCCCAACAAGCACACACAGGCCCCCTTCTCCCACTGACCTTTCCTAAATGTTACTGGCCACTTGGCACACTGACGGCCTCTAATGAAACTTTTATTGGCCCCCATTTTTCACCCTGTTTCTCCAGAACGCCTCCAGGGCTAAGCTGAAATACAACAGGCTTGAACTGCAGCTGACACGCAGAAGGGCAAGGTATGGTGAGTGTGTGTGTGTGTGTGTGTGTGTGTGTGTGTGTGTGTGTGTGTGTGTGTGTTCTTTTTTATCCGCCTTTTTCTTTACTCCAAAATCCATTAGATCAATTAGAAATGTTTATGACATCATTTAAAGTCCTTACCTGCTGAATATATAGCTCAATATATCATTCTCCAATTACATTTGATAATATCAGGTAATAGCTGTAGGCAAACAAGAACCTCTCTGGGAGAGCTGCTTTATCGTTTGCATTACACTCTGTGTTGACTCTGTTTGCCCACTTGGGGACGATTGGGAATTAAATGTGCAGGATTGGATTTTAGCAAGAAGGGTAGGATGACAGGTGCCAAATAGCTGAAGTTAAACACTAACCACAACCACATCATTCACCAACAGAACCACCAAGAAGAACTGATATACTCAGCTATATTGCTGTACAGGTAAGCTGTCTTCTAGTGTCATAATAGCATGTTAGTGGAAAAGCACCATTGCTACTGAAGTTGTTAGTAGAAATGTTGTTACAAGGCCTAAATGAAGTAGAATTCCTGTCCAAGTCATTTAAAGCAAAGTGCTGATATTAAAATTTGTCTCAGGTGAATAATAAGTTAAAACTGAATTAACCTGCTCAAAGCCTTTGGTTTAAGATTTTTTTTAAACAAGTTTCAGTTTATCATTTTTATCTAAAACTCCATCTGCTGAGGAAGATCGAGTCAAACGATCGAAGGCTCCAGAACAGCTACTGAGGAAATGTTGTGGGGTTGCTTTAAAATGTTTAAAAATTAAATTCATTGTACAAGGGGTTAAAATAAACCATTAACTAAAGTACAATTACATCCCTATTCCGCCTAATTCTACTGTTATGATCATGGAATTAGTGGAGTTTATCTGCCATATTGTAAAATACTTCCAATAAGAAGTTTTTCACTGTTGACATATCTGTTTGAGGGGTTTACATCTTCTGTCGACGGGTGGAAGGATATATGCGTGTTTGTCCTTGTGCAGCGTGTGTGTGTGTGTGTGTGTGTGTGTGTGTGTGTGTATATAGATGACCAGTACAGAAGTGAGCGGATGGGTTAGGCCCAGCTGGGTTGTGTTTTTTCCTCTGAGGAAGCACAGGGGAGGGACAGAGAGGTCAACAGCAAACTGTTGATACTCATTATAAGCTGCTGTTGGACTCACGCAAAACTAATTACCACAAGCTGAAATGAACAGAGTAGGAGGGCACTGAACTCAAGGATGCATCTGCAGAGCGAGGACGGGGCCAGATAAGTTTAACAGAACTCACGGCTGGCAGAGTTTGATGAGGTCCTGGTCAGTGGTGGCAGGCGGCAGGCCTCTGATGTACAGGTTGGTCTTACTAAGCTGCTCCACTAGCCCTCCTCCATGACCTCCTCCTCCACCTCCACCTCCTCCTCCTCCTGTGGTGCCAGGGCTGGGCGGAGCCATGGGCGGAGGGGGAGGGGCATAGGACTGCTGCAGAGAGAGAGAGAGACAGAGAGAAAAGGAAAGGAAAAGTTCACTTCAGGTTATTACATGATGAAAAAAAGGTTTAAGCCCTTTTCATTGCCACAATAATAACCAATTTAACAATGCCAACAAATTCTGCCACTCAGTTCTACCCAACGAAACATCATCTTTCTACTGAACTCACATCCTTTTGAATCATCTCTTCCTGCATCACGTCTTCCACCAATATCTTGATTTAACAGGAAGCACATCAAATTAAGGAAGCAGGATATGTGTAATTAGTGCTCATTATGATTATGGTACCAAGTTTTACTACGGTAGCTTCTATCAGCAACAATAACAGCCTGTGCTGGGGCGATGTGGCAGCACATCTGGTAGAGCTTGCACCCCATGTACAAAGGCAGGAGTCCCTAGTACAACGGCCTGGGTTTGTTTCCAACCTGCTGTCCTTTGCTGCATGTCATTTGCATTTACTGTGCATTGGGAAGTTTATGTCAAGCATCCCGTTATGGGTGCACGACCCAGACCATCCAGGGTTTAATCCAGGCCTGGGCCCTGTGTCACCGTTAACTTACTCAAACGTTTCCTATCAGCCTGCACTGTCCAGTTACACAGCTCAATGCTGACTAAATGACTTAATAAGATGACCATTTCTGGCAGGGAGGAAGGGGAGTGTGAGGTAATGAGTCTTTGGAACTGATGGTTTCAGAGTGCGCACACACACCCCTGCCTGCCCCCTGCCTTAGGCTAACTATTAGGTTAAGTTTGGAGGAAGTAAACAAGCCAGATGGCTCATATGACAACAGCGTTCAAAACACTGTGTCTCCTTCCTTGATGTTTGGAGCAAAACAGCCACGCTGGCTTGACGAAGAAATCTGGTCTCAGCATTGGTCCCACTGTAGGGAACTGGTTCAAGACTCCACTGCACTTTGAGAAGATCAGGACAGTTCTACTGTGTGCCACAATGACATGTGAGAATGACATGGAAAGAAAGTGGAGAGAAGGGGTGAATGACAGGTGGAAGTGAATGAGCTTGGATGTGTACTGTATTCAGCGGATGTATGTGCATGTGTGTAGACAAATGCTAGCAAGCGTGTGTGAGCCTGTGTGTGTAAGCTGGTGTTTGTGATAATGACAGGTTGTCACCACACAGAGATGTGGAGCCTTCGCCAGCTCTGATATTAATCCATTACCTGTACTTCCCTCAACTGACACAAAATTCCTGGCGCACACACACACACACACACACACACACACACACACACACACACACACACACACACACACACACACACACACACACACACACAGACAAGATGACATGCTGTCAGCTCAGAAAGGCCGCGCTAACAGGATTCAACACTTGCACAGCAAACATGCAGCAGTAAAAGGAGATGGTGCCTGTGGAGTAGTGTCATTTACAGGCCAGTGCTTTACACTAACAGCCCAGAATGAGCCTATATGCTTCAACAAAAACAGGACAGAATACAGAGATGAAAAAAGCCTACACTGGGCAATACTTCATTTTAATGGCTGGGATGAATCCTACTCTATATTGCCTGTCTCCTAGAGCCCTTACATTTGCAGTTTGGTATGTTTTCCCGAATACTAATATCTCCCAATACTGTATTCACTGTAAAAATATTGTCCCTGGGTCTGCATGCTACTGACAATACAGATGTGAAAAATGTATAAAACATAACTGGTGCTAAAATTGACTGAATTAATTAATTAATCAACAAGTCAATTTTTATCAGTTAATGATTTAGGTTATTTACTAATAAAAACTGTAAAACATGTTGGCAACAGACAGCAAGGTTTCCTACATTCCTTGTCATTTGTGTACAAACAAGACTAAGCTTATGTTCAGGCCAACTTGAGCCCAGGGTGAAAAAACACAGCCCTCTTATTAATTTGAATTGAGCAAGTCCATTGTCAAAGTGGGGGTACCAACATAGGGTCTGGAAAAACAACACTGAGTCGCAAGTTGAATCTGGCTCAACTGTTAATGCAATAACATAACATCAGCCAGCAAATCAATCAAATACATACAACTGCACATTCCTACTTTGTAGATTACTTTGTAACATGAACACAATATTCTTGTTGTTTACCTTGTGACAAAAGATACAACAGTTGTTGCTGGGATAACTTTCCAGAGATTTTTAAAGAACAAATGACAATCCTACCTAGTATTACAAACATTGCAGGGTTTTGCTGTCTGATAAGCCCTTGAACAACTCAAGTTACTCAATCAGGACTTCCTGGATCATGTTTCATTGTCTCACCTGTATATTAAACAACACACCGCCACCAATGCAGCTCCCTGTGCTTTTTCCATATCATGACTGTAAGAAGTAACAAGAAAAGGTTAACTCTCATATTCTAAATTCTTATTTAAGACAGGTTTTCAGTTGCTAGAAAACAGACACACTGAGCAAAGCATCAAAACTCAAGACTCCTCCAGAGAAATTGCTCAGTGCCCAGCGGTGTGCGATATGTACTGAGAAGTGCATGTGTGTGTTTTCATGTGGTCTCTGTGATCATGATAATGAAAACCTCACTGCTTCAAAGCCTGAACTGTGCTTGGGGCTGATTTGCTATGAGCCTTTTAACAATGGGTTTGTTTACTGACCACCTCTGAAAAATAACATGGATACATGTTTGACAGGAAGCGTCAGATACAAATAAAAGACCCCAGGCTCCGTGCGAAAGAGAATAAAAGCCATAACATGCTTCAGATAAGACACAATGCCGGTACATGCAATATAAACACACACAAAAACAACACTGACAGTATTTTCTCTCTCACACACACACACACACACACACACACACACACACACACACACACACACACACACACACACACACACACACTGTCAGTCTTATCTAAGTGCACTAATATCATTCCTCCATGATTCGGAGCACAAAAGAGCCCTTTTCACTAACACATACACACAGACTCAGATGTCCAGGTATGCACAAATGTAAAAAAATCTCTCTCTTCTTCCTCTCACTCGCTGACACACACACACACACACACACACACACACACACACACACACACACACACACACACACACACAGACACAGACACAGACACACCTGATCAAAGGCCTTGCCCAGGAAACCTCTTTCAGCCAATTTGTGCAGCTGTCAGGGTCGGGCCGATAGTGAGCTGTGTATGTAATGTGTCAGAGACTGTGATAGGGAAATCCTTTGAAACACTGAAATCTCTCTCTCTCTCTCTCTCTCTCTCTCTCTCTCTCTCTCTTTGGCAACCACGCTTTCTCCTCTCTTTTCCCTCTCTCGCTCACTGTCAAATTCGACTCCACCATCGCTCAATCTCTTGCTCTTTTCACCTCTATCCCTCCTCGCATTATTCCTCCCACCCTCTCCTCCTCCCTTTCTCCCGGTTTCTCTCTTTTAAGGATTACTCTGCAGTCGGAGTGTGTGGACTGAAGGCTGCCTCTCAGCTGGTATTGTTGACACACTTAGTACAGTGGAGCAGCTCTCGCAGTGGGAAAAAGGCTTCGAGGCAGCCACACAAACTGTCACACAAAGCAAACACAGTCACCGTGTTTTTGTAGATTTCATGCGTGGCTCAGCCTGTGAACAGTAACACTCTGCAAAACATTGCTGCATGGTGTCATATATGTGCATGCTGCAGAGTACCTGACGTTTGTCTGGATGGTAAACTGCAAAAAAGGCAGAGAACAGAGGAAAACTATTTGTTTTCTCAAGACAATGTAAAAAAGCAATTCATTAGCAATAAGCTATACAATACAGCTGTAACAGCATTATTTGCATCATCTTGAACAAGTCAGCGACTGCATATAGGCTTATCACATAACATATAAATTTGCTGTTGCCTTGAAGCCGAAGCTCAACACCCAACTAACACACTTAATTTTGTATTTTTCTTTCTCGTATGTGGTTATTGCTAGGATTCAAAGAATCAAATCTCTTTTTCTGTGAAACAACTGCTTGCTTTGGTCTCATTTTGCATCTTTGTGAAATGTGCAGTTCTAAAGTGCTGGTTGGTAAACTACGTAGGCGATATTTTTTTCTCTATGCTGGGCCATTTACTCAGCTGGCATATTGTTCTCAGGACTGTACATCATGTCATTCAATAAAGAGTTAATGAAGAAGTAAAATTTCACAGAGCTAGCAAGCTTGCCATCTGTCATTTGAAAAGCTTGTTAACTGAGTCACTAATAGGATAATTTTGCACAGTTTATTAAGAAAATGTTTTTGTACCATCGATTCCTGTCCCATGACTGTCTTCAAACCATTTTGTGGTGCAGTTTATATTCTGACTAGACCTTTGTTGGACAGAGACAGCTTAAGAAAGACAGGAAACCGGAGGAGAGAGATGCAGCAAAGAGCGCGGGGGGGGGGGTATGCAATCGAACCTGGCCCGCTGTGGTAAGCCTTAGCACATGGGGCGCACGCTCTACCAAGTGACCTACAAGGGCACCCCCATCCCCCATGCACTACTTTATTCAAGGCTAGGTAAGTACACGTAACACACACTAAACACACACTCAGATGGCTGAAACTAAATTCACATGCATGCACACACACACTTGCAAGTACAGTCTATATATAGCCCTCTCGAGTTCTCTACTTTCCAAACAATGAGCAGCTCCTGGAAAGCCCTGAAATTGGGTTTCAACTAACCCCACACACACTCACACACACAACTACAGCTCAGTTCTTTTCAGAGTAGCTGTAAAATTAGGGTGACCTTGCTGTGGTCAGGTTTACCCTGTTTTCAGCAAAAGTGGTGTTCGTTATTGCATACTGAGCCTCTCTGATATGTGTCAGTGTGTTGCTGTTGTATCTATGCACATTGACCTTTGTTTGAACAATACAGAAATAAAAGACAGACAGAGAGAGACACACCAAGTGTAAGACAGAAACATGGCTCGAAAGATTACAGTAATAGCCAACAATGAGTCCATTCATCTGCTGTTATAACTGTTCTATACGTTTAACAA